AAGAATTGTTAAAAGAGCAAATGATTTGAGTTATTACTCGCTCTACAATATAGCTCAAAAGAAACCGTTAATTTTAGTTGTATAATACCTGTGTACCCCCTTAAATGATATTAACGTGTTATTAGATAAGAATTATATTACACTAGATAGTCAAATATAATTTTCGTAGGTACCTGTTGGCCTAACGAAATCGTCGGCGAGAGAAAGGAGCCACCATCGGGGATGATACGCATGCGATGGTACCGTGCACAGTTATACACCGTAGATCGTGTAGATTTTCAACAATCCTAACTGCAGTTCGGTGTTTCAGAGAATTCATGTAACGTTGCGCCAGACTACCGCTCGTTAAGCTGCAGAATTGGGGGTATAATGGAGGAAAAACACGGTGTATTCTGGGAAACGGGGGTTACAGAGGGCAATGAAATCCTATACATAATACCCAGGAAACGTCGACGAGACTGCTTCTGGGGATAATAGGCAGTTGACTTCGATTAGCCGAATAAGTGTGCTTCTAGGTCAATAGAGTATGAAGACTTTGTTTGTCTGACCTGAACCTTGCTTTAACTTGACTCGTACCGTGGTAAGAGATACAGGAAATTTGTTCTTACTATCATTTAACGCGAATCCTCTGGTAAATGACTTATCTGAAGTACATAAGAAGATAATTCTGCAAGTTCCTAGTAACTTTGACTATCACGACTTGCTCTTCAGTTTACGACATGCAGGGAGGGGCAATAACTATGTCCACTTTGAATATTGCCGTTATTTGTAATAATACGAAAAAATGTTATACATAGCATTCCATTAAAAAAAAATAGAGGTGACCTTGAAATCTCCTCTATGCTTTCACCCACGCAGAAAATGTTCCTGTCACAATATGCCCCCCTCTATACCGTGTAAATTTTGTATACAACATTTTTTTATATTATTACAAATAACGGCAATATTCAAAGTGGACATAGTTATTGCCCCACCCTGTATAGAGAGGCAATATTACAGTCGCAATTTTCAACATTCCAGAAGTAGAATTCTTTCTATTCCCAATAATTGGTTTGCTCCGTTATTTTGTTTCGCCAAGTGAATCCTCTGAATTCGATGAATTCCGTCGATCCGAGTGCACTGAAATCGATCGAGCGATCAGTTTCGCGTGCACACGGGCAATACCCACTCGAGGAAAGTGTGTTCGTTTACAAAACGTACGACGGATCCCGGGTAAACGACCTATTCATTCTCCGCGAGAGGATCGCGGCATCTGGTAGCTCGTTTCGGTTCTCGCCGTCTTGTTCCGCAGTAATGCTATCATTAGGAGAAATCTGAATGCGTCCGGCTCCGTTTCAGTCCCTCTTTTCTCTTTATCCGCGGGTGTCGTCGTGCAACTCCGGCAAACCGTAATAATCCCCGGTAAATATGGTCGCGGTTGACCTCGGCCGGAGCACGGTGCATAAAATGTTACGCGATCCCATGCGTTTAATGGGGTTGGTACCGAACTCAGGTGAGAATTTGAAACTGCATCGGAGATAAATGGAGAAAGTATTAACTGCTGATTGCTAATTGAACATAAACAGCGCAAGTAGATTGTAATTCCTTTCTAAATAAAAAATATGGTGATTATGAATGTATGCAAGATCATTTTGACGTATCTGTAGTTACTGTCATATTCTTTGCAGTTATATGTAAATGTAATATATGAAAACTTTATGCATAATTCTCCCTTCAAACCTGCGTATAATAGAAATTCTACTATGGGTCATCTGCCTTTCGAGAGTTAAGGCTTAAAACTTCAAGTTATCCAACAAACAATAAATCCAAAAAATAGAGTTACACTTAATTGGACATGAAGTTAAGGTTAATCTTTACAAAGACAGATGTCATCGCGAAAATTCTAAGAACGATATCGTCTGTATCGTAACCAAAGGACCGCATAAAATTCGAGTTAAAAGACCGTTGCATACTTAGTCAAGAATACCGCCAATATCGTATGGATTTCCAGCGTTTACAAGTCCGAGTCACCCCATAAATGCCTACTATGAAATACCCTTTCACAAAAAGCTGATATGCACTCGGGATACGTTCGATAAAGGGCGAATTCAGCGGAACACAGGGCACGATTTATTTTCGACGCAGTCGGTCAGCAAGAGACCCAGGGTGGCGGCTCGTTCGATAAAATAAAAACATGGCCATGGTTGCTTTAATGCGGCCGCGGGCCGACCGACGAATAAAAACGGACCCGCGTATTTATCGCAGCGTGAATGCACTCCGGGAATCAACGATAAAGCAACCGACCGAGAATACTTTCTGCGCCGGAACGTATTGTTCGCTCTCGATGATAACCCAACGACATTTACAAGTGATATGTTACATATCATATGTGCCGTTCTTTTTATTGGTCCCCTGTATTTCCGCTGGAGAAAAACACCGTCGAAGATCTATCGGTCGTAGTGTGTGACCAGGGTTGGGCAGAATTTTATTCGAATTTTATTAAGCGTGTCGTTCTGAGCTTTAAACAGTTAATGAGATTAAATAATTGTTCGACATATGTCGATTCATTCATATAGAAGTATTATTTTATTATACAAATTGAAAATTCTGTGACGATAAGTCTGGAGTCCCGTGACACCAAGTGGTGCATCTACAATTCAGCGAACTTGACAATGCGACACTAGGGCTGTACAAGTCGGTGATCGATAGATTAGACGCGTCAGACAAGACGTCGACAACCTTCGAGTTGCCTCCGACACAATGCCACCCATCTAACAGGACCGATAATGATGAAATTAGAATCAACCAGCCCGAATTCACTCGCACAGTGTATTGCAAGACTCGATATTCTGAGATTCCAAAGAACCTTTCTAGGAGAACGATATACATATAGTATGTCGTTGGTATATACCGCGTAGAATGAACAATAGTAATACTCGAGCGTTAGAGCTCAACGTGCACAGAACCTGCCGATGATTCGTGTGGTTGCCAGGGCTATGCATTCAACAGTTTCTTCGACACAGAGTACAAACTGCCGGGGACTTTATAGTATAATAGTAACCGTATGAATTACAGAGAGGCATTGTACATTGGTGTAATAAATTTTCTATAACTTGGTTTCATGTGATTTGCAACTTTCCGTTCGAAACTGATATGATAATTTTTGATACCATTTATTCCAAATCGATATTTTGTTCCAAATTAATATGATAATTCAAGTACCACTTGTTCTACCAGTCCTGTTAACAAGGTTTGGGACAGAGAACCTACAACAATCCAGCACTTCAAAGTGTCTCGATTTCATCTGCATACTCAGTCGTAAATATTCAAAGTAATGTCCCATAAATTCTATGTTCTCTTAAAATAAGAAGTCGTCCAATGAAACTACATTTTAAAAATCTAGATACATTTGGTTGAAAGCCAGTATTTTTTCAAGCTTCATTTCACATTACTCTGCAGTAAAAGGGCAATTAGGAAAAGAATTTGTTCAAGTAAAGACGGTAGCTGCGTCGCAATTTCTTGAGATCGTAGTCCAGGGTGCAAATTAAAAGACCAATTTTACCCTCTGCTCATTTAAAAGTCTGATTTAATCGTTCCTGGAGCCTCCCTTCCTGCCCCTCCAAGATTATTCGACTAAGATTGAATCGAATTTGTATCGCAAATTGTCCCCTGTCGAAATTGATTCAAGGACCATTTGTATGCGTGCCTATTTACGCGTCCGTATCCTTAGCCTCGGTAACACCCATAACGAGTTACGGACTTTTCATCGTTTCATAATTCCCTAGGCTGACGCGCGGCCGAGTCGAGCGGAACGATGAATAATGAATCGAAGTTCAATCAGGCGAATTTGCATACGTTACAGCAGCGCGAGACGAAAACAATGGTCCTTTCCTTCCGCTTGCATGCGGTGAGTCACTTGGTCGCTTTGACGAACGTGAAAACCGTCGGAGGAGACACGCGACTCCTGCCCGGAGCGATTTATTAATAAAGATGAGCCGAGGAAAAACCGTATATTGTGCAAGGTGTTCCGTAAAATTTATAATCAATGGGTAAAGTAATAATTGGATGTGAAATAAACTTTGCGGAAAATGTGGAGTGAAATCTATTTTAAGAGAATCCGCTTTGGAAATTATTCTTTAATATTTCTGAAACGTGCACATTGTACGAAGTGATATTTGCCAGTTGTAGCTAGGCAGCATATGGCTCTAACGATGGAAATTACTGGAGCGGTACGTATTAAAATTCTCTATGGGTCTTGAAACGAATGACTGTCACGTTTCGGTGCAATTTATAGGAACGGCAATATTTATAACCATAAATACTGTAAAAAGAACGACTTTCATGTTTTTTCTAAGCTTTAAGATGATTTTATCGCAATTCTTCTTGTAGTTTCCAGACAGAATGTACTTGCACGCTCAGTGATCTGACGATAAATATATAGAACTGAACGTAAAGTATACATATTAATGTCAAAAAAAATACACTGTTTGATACGATCCTATTAAACAGAGAATGTATGGCAATACTTCCTTCGTAATACTAATAAGCTCAACTACATCGAAATAATATCCAGACTCAGAATTATTATAATGCACTTTATCTCTTCGGACAGTCCATTCCAACACGTTAATCCCAATTATATTCACTTTATATCGATAAACTGTTTATCCCTCGTTTTTCCAATCATACCACCTGCATCCTCTATATAGACAATTTCCGTCCGTCAATTTCGTCAATCGTCTCCTTCCCATTATCCCCCAATCCAAAATGCCCGCAAACTCTCATTCGACTGGTATAAATTATCCGTTCGATGTGTACGACCTCGATTGAAATTTGAAGAACCGCGTCGCGGGCTCGATTTATCTTCGAATCGGCCCCATTAAAATCCTTGTCCGGCAAAATTGATCTCGTTACAGGTGGAGAGAGAGGGGATACGCGCGCCCGAGCACGGGGCAATTTATTTCGATACTTCGGCCGAAGATATTACTCTGGGCCGTCGCGACTGACCATGTGGAACTTACCTGTGGTGGAGTTGATGAGAAAATAACCCTCCGGATTGCCGCTGGTGATGGAAAATGTGAATTGTTGGGGCGATACGTCGCGATCGAACGCCCGTATCTGGAGAACGCTCACACCTGCCGGCGAGTTTTCCGGCACGGACGGATAGTAGACCGGAACCTCGGTCAGCGGGGTGTTGTCGTTCTCGTCCAACACCTCCACGTACACCTGAACAAAAACCGGCTGCGGATTATTTACGAGCCGACCGTTCCAGCGATCGTGTACTCGCGATCGCGAAAAAAATTTTGTAAAAAAAAAAACGATGGATCGAAATGCTGGGACATCGGTGTCCTTTTGTCGACGCTCTCTTTTTGCCGTTCAGCACGGCGGAACCTCGTTTACTTCGAAGTGAAATTTTGGTAAATTTCAGCTGAGTTTAATGGTACTCAGTTGAACCGATGAGGATTGATATTTGATTGAAGATGGGGTTGAATTAAATATGATACGATACCTGCTGGATTTTCAATGTAATTTCGGTGTTTGGATTGTGTGAACACTTCTTTTGGGCAGAGAGGCTGGATTATTTAAATATTGCGACACCATTTTTGCGTATAATTAATATAGAAATATAATTTAAAATGGTGCCAGAAGCTTCTATTAAGAAAACGTTATTTTCGACGATTTATGATTTAAAAAACGATATAAAGTGTGTCTGACTACGTACGGGCTTTTCCACTGTGACACTCAACATGTTAAACATGGTAACGAAGTTCCGCCGTACACACCACGGAATTCTTGAAAAATACAAAAAATTTCAAGAAAAAAATCGTTCAAATTCACCGACGATGTGCCAGGGAATACACATTCGTCATTGCAAACCTGTAGGCTAGAGCTGAGTTGCACCACGCCATGGTCCTGCGCGAATATGGTCAGCCAGTATCCTCTCTTCGACTCGACATCGAGCACAGCTTTGGTTCTGATGTTGCCTGCAACAGAAACGTAACGAGAAACCATTATTCGAAGCGAACCTTTCGAACACAATTTCTGGCCAACTGAGCCAGATATAATTCGTGCATTCACCGATAATTAAAAGGAAATCAGGATATATCTGATGGGGACAGACTCTCGATAGGGACCAGGGAACGGGCGACGCTGACTGAATGGTGTAGGCGGATCAAAAAGGTGGCGTTTCGTCTCGGGAATCGTCTACCAAGACTCGTCAGTGTTGCTCCTCGATATTTCGAAAAACCCCACGTTCAAGGACAAGATTGGTCCTTCCAATACATAAATCACACTGAATTTTTAATTTCAGATGAACCGTTACGAAGTTACACTGATCGCGGCAGAACACTTTTTGTGAAGAAACATCCGAGAGATCGCTCACCATTTATTTACTAATAAATATTTTTTTTGAAATAAAAAAATTACTTTATAATCGAAAAACTGCAATATTTGAAACACGAACACATTTTTCGAAAAAGGTGTTATAGTTTTTGAGGAAAAAATTCCCAAAGAACACTCTTACTTCGGCCACCTGACTGAGCATGACCCTTTAAGTAGCCAAAGGCTGTAATTACCGCTTGCGAGAAAACTCGCCACCTAGCGGCCGATACCGGAAACCCAGGCGACTGGGAGAAACGTCTCCACACACTGCCTGTCCCATCAAATCTCCTACAATGGGAACAGGTCGTTCCACGGGGAGTAGTGATAGAAATAGGGGGGAAAAAAAAAAAAAAAAAAAAAAAAAAAATGGAACGATACTCGAACGAGAGAGACCGAAGAGAGTAAGACAGAGAGGTGGTATTACCACCTTACAAAATAGCTGGCAACAAGGACCGATATGAAATGACGTGCACGTACGTGGCGGGTTGCCAACCGTGCGGCGGATAGCGCAAAAATTGGACTGCATTCCTGGTGTTAACACGTCGAGCACGCTGTTCCGCGTGTCTTCGATCGTTTTTGCGAGATTCCAACAGCCTACCGGCCGCCGCCGCTTTTTTGCGCCCGACGTGTACCGTCAATGGGCGGCCCCGGTTGGTTTATTACGGTATTAATGTAAAAGATATCGGGGACCGATATACGCTAGCCAGAGGAAAGGGAAGAACACCGTCGATCGCGCGAGCGAGGAAGCAGCGGCACCCAGGGTTCGATTAATTAGCAATCCGAGATGTTACGTACGGGAGCAGATGTAGATCGTAATCGAGATTACCAGCGATTTGTTCTGTCAGTAATTACATCTTCGGATTTCGCCGCGGCGTCTTCATTAATCCATGATCTTTCGAGTGCTCGCCACCAGTGGCCCTCTTCTTCCTCCTCGTCCGATCATCGGGTGTAATGTATGCTCGATATCGGTATAATATCGGCCCGGGTAATTCCGCGATATCGATTAATTATCGGACCCCGGGCGAAATTCTGCCCAGCGGGAACCCGGTCGCGTCGGTGTTCGTGTTATTTATGGTCTCGTTTCGGTGAAATTCACGGGCCGTGGAATCGCCGTGCCCCGGCGCGGTTTTCTTCCGTTCCTCGGTCTGTTCACGCATACTAATCGTGTGAACGCATCGATTGCTTTTCTGTCCTGTGAATCGGTCTTCGATAAGCGGTGAAACTTTATGGAAATTCGCTCTCGACGAACAAGATATGGAGTTTTTTGTTTGTTAATTCATTCTGATATTATGGTATTCTATGGCATGAGGTCTGCAGGTTTCATAATTCATTATAGATCGATATTAGAAAGTGTTTTAAAGTAATAGTAGGTATGTTCTGCCGCTCATAAGTATTAGGATATTTATGTACTCTCACTATATTTGCAGTAAATAGTTAGAAAGCGTTACAAAATCGCTGGAAGTTTGACATAAATACCATTCAGAGGATATTAACCTGTATAGAAGGGGATGTCTATGTTTAGGCTCCAGAGGAGTCGCTTATTTTTCGTAGTATGTATAATACTATAACAAATACAGTGATTCCTCGATAACTGCGACACGAGCAACGGTGTTATTCCCACTACTGTATGGTGATATGATAAATATATGATGTATACGTGAAACGGTGTATAGTAATTATTGTGTATAATGGAAAATATAGAATTCAAAGAATTTTTCGTATTTTTTATTCCAGAGCATGGAAGTTCCGTTTCAAGTGTACGTACATTTGAACCCGCGTGGACCGTATGTCACGGAAGAAACGGTTGAAAGAGTAGCTCGTAGCTCCACGAGAATTGTCCAGATTATTGTTCCAATTCTGGAGGCAGCCCCGTACTGATAGTATCCATCACTAAGAATAACGCGCGGCACACACGTATTTCTCCGGCGAAATGGTGCTCGTGTTTTTCCGTTTCACATATTCGCCCACCGTCCCCCTCCACAAAATGACCGTCATTTACTTTCCAACAACTACCGATTTGTCAACCGGGGGTAGGTAGGTACACGTTCGCGTCAACTTTATTGTCTTAAAGCCGCGAATCCATTTCTTGAATTCATTACATTTGCTCCCGAAAAATTTATGAACACACGTTCCTCGTTGACTGTATACATTCAGCCATCTTGGATTTTCATTCACAAAGATGACCTTACGAGAAGAACAAGAAGTTGCCGCCTTTTAAAAATTTTACAACGCCACTAAACAACCCAAACGTATATCCCCTGAAAATTATTCTTCAAGCGTCCAAATACTACCCACCAGAACACCTTCATAAATTACGAAGAACCTCTAATATTTGTTCCACGTAATTCCCCACCCCACCCCGTCATCGTATCCGTAGCCGTAACACGTGTTTTGGATCCACAGAGCGAGAGAAGAGAGGAGCCGATGTAGACACGTGCTGGGTTTAATAGCGACCAAGTGGGAGAATATATTAAATTTACTGCCGTGAACACGGCTTCCAGAGAGGGGGGGATTTTACAGCATCGTATAATAGGATCCCCGTCAGTGGAAACCCGCGACAGTTACGACCCCCGTCTAGCGACCCTCGCTTTTCGTGGCCCAGTTTTTTTTTTCATCCCCCAAGCCCCCCTCTGAACAACATTACGGACTTAATTTCTTACGGAATTGTAACGCTCGACGAACGTTTTTAGCCTGGAACTACTTTTTTTCCGTGTCAAGAGACACACTCCGTGGAACGCGGAAGTTTTCACCGGTGGGATACAGGAGCAAGAGAGACAGAGAAAGGATCGAGGCGGGTAAATGGGAAAAGTTGAGGCCACGGGAAAGATTTTCCTTGCAACGGGAAATAAATGCGTTTCAATGTATACACTTAAAACGGAAAAGAGCGAGCTATACACGGCAGCCCCGGCGAATTAGACGTTCCCGGCGAGTGGCAGCACGGATTAAAATGAACGGTTCTCGGTTTATTGGGAACGAGTTTACCCCTCGCGGGTTTCGTGAAATCGCGAACTAAGTGGAAATACGTTTTTCAACTGGCCAGGAAATTAGTTTTTTTTCGAGCTTGTCGACCGTCGCGTAATTACAATGTCAAGTCCGTTGCGACGCTTCGTCGGTGTGTTCCCTTTCGACAACAAATCAACGCGACTCCAGCCGCTATGAATTCGCAAACTCGGAATAATTAACGGCGGTTTCTCAGGATCTCGAGTTCGCGGACGTCTCGGGAGCATAGTTCCCAAATTGGCTCGGGTGGTGACGCATATACGTTTACCAGAACATCAGAAATACGACACAATCGTAATAACAATGACCTAACTTTACTGTGAAGTGAAAAATATGATTTATTCTCGACATTAACACTAGAACTACCGACGATAAACGTATATTTCTTCGAAGCGAAAATTCTTCGCACCTAGTAATTGAATCGTCACACTGTCATCGATGTGTCCCTGCATCGATCGCAATCGGCGACCGTGAATGCCTGCGCGTGGCATTTTCCAGCGAGACAGAGCCATTAAATTCAGCCACGTCGACACAAGCAGCCAGGCGAGCTCGCTGTTGCAGGTAATATAGAAACGTTAAATCAAAGAAATCAGTTAGAGGTTCGTGGTCGATTTTTCTCGAAGGCTGACGGACGATCGGTATCTAACCGCATCGAGAAGATTCCCGCCATTCGTTTCGGCCAATTTCATCGCGAACGTTGACGGGTGTCGCGTTTCTAACCAGTGCAGAGGCTGCATAAATTCGACGAGCTTGTAAAGCAGTCGTGATGGAGAACGCGTTTAAACGTTTCAGCGCTCTCGAAATCGTTCCTCCTGGATGGCACGCGCATCCGTTGCAGCATCAACTTCAACCGTGGCTCGAAGAGTGATCGAAACGGGCGGGCGGAAACACGAGGCTGAAGGGCAGCGATCAACCGTGAAGCGTGTAAAATATTTAATAACTGCGACCACGGGCATGCATCGATAACTTCCTTAGCGGTCCTACGGTCCATTGCTCGACTGAGAAACGATCTCTCCGTCCATTAGATCGACACGTACGCCGTCGCGCGATTTCTTTGTCCGTTCGACGGGTGTAATTGGCCGGCATTGCGCAGGAACGCTCGACACCGGTAATTAGACGCAGGAAACGGGACAATTATTTATAATTTACGAACATCGTGAACCCCCTACGGTGGATATGATGGAGACAGCGGTTTCTGAATTAACTACTTTGTTGACAAGGTTTGCTAGGCACCGAACGGACTTTAATGTAGGCGAGATTGATGGTATGAGCTAAGTAGATAAGTGGATAAATTGGGTTATTGGTATGAAGCAATGTTTCTGTGAACAGCGAATATGTATATAGAATGATAGTATTGCGCCTAATTATTATCTTTGAAACGGTTAATTAAACCCACTGGTACTTTTCTGTTTCTTACTTGTTTGTAACTGTAGTTCTGAAGCAGGCTGTACTAGAGGCATAACATGGAATACTTATTAGTGATTCTTCCTGTTGGATGAGGAATTTTGATTTCCTTGATGGAGAGTTCGAACTGATGGTCACCAGTTGAATGGGTGAAGTGTGAATTTCTACACTAATAAGAACCAGCAGACGACATGATACGTTTGGTTCCACGAATTTGAAATATGGCT